ACAAAGTAGAGCATAATTATAAATACTAAACATGGTTCAACCTGCAAACAATCAAACTTCATAACCATGTTTCATGCCCACCAGAGGTAAAAACATCCACAGAAAGGCAAAGTAACCTGTCTCTGAGTCCAGCCAGTCCAGGCCGCGCTACAAACACGTTTTTTGTGGGCCCGGGTCAGACTGAGCAAAACTGGAAACCTGCAGATTTATTATGAGTCAGTTTATGAGAGTTCATGTCTCTTTGAGGTGCAAACACATTGAACATTTATACTTCCTAACTGTTCTCTTATGATCTCCCCATACCTGTCAAGTTTTTGTTCGGAAAATAAGGTCACATGAGGCGTTAGTCACAGAGTTCAGTTTGGAGAAGCAGAATGATGTTTTTTATACACATAGATGATAATACAGGAGATTTACGGGAGAATGCTAATACGGAAAGACGACAGGAAAGAGGGGTAAAATACGGTAGTATGTGACAGTTATGGATCTACCTGAAGTATTTCCTTTCAAAATAAAAGCGTATTAAGATTAAGAGTTGATGCCTGAATATGCACGGCACTTTTCTTGATAAAGCGACTCTCTCACTGATTCCGCTTTAGTGGGATCACTGACTAGAAAACTGGAGTCTTCCTCTCTTTGATAACCTGCAGAGCAAACGCTGTTGGTAACTTAACCAGGGGTAGGGCTGAAACGATTCCTCGAAAACCTCTAGTACCTCGATAACATATAATGATCGAGGAATTTTCTCGGCCTCGAGTTCTCGTTTATAAGCTCAAATCGTTGGTGTTTAACACGGATTCTTTTGAACGTGACACAGTGCACTTACATCACCATGGTAGAAGGAGGAGTGAGCGCTGTTTAGGTTTTGCAGAGCGGAAAAAAAAAAATGATAAGAGGGGCTTTTCATGCAGTGTTGCCAACCTAGCGGCTTCAGCGACTTTTCGTGCTTGTTTCGCGATTGTCCTCTATTTCTCTGAGTCTGGCCTTCATTGCGGGGTTATAGGAAATCGACCTTTATGTGAGTCTGCCGTTTGGATCCAATTACTCGGGTAATCGATGGAATACTCGGTAGAATACTCGATTACTAAAATATTCGATAGCTGCAGCTCAACACAGGGGTCAAGAGCAAAAAGTGGTTGTTCTCTATATGTGAAAAGCACTGTGTCGTTGCACACCAGAAGTGGATTACGCATGAAAAGAGGGAACAAAATTTTGCTCCTAATGTTATTGGGACAGAACAATAAAATAGAAAGTTGCCCAGAAGTTTAAAAGCTGAAGTCTGAAGTCTTGAATTTGAGTCCCCACCTCTGGCTGGTGCAACCTAGTGCTGAACTGAAGAACTACAACAAAAACAAAACTTTAGTTTTTCAACTGTGTGACAATCCAGACTCTTAAAACTGCATCTGACTTGATTTACAGTCATGTAACTTGTACCTTTGATACTCTGCAGCTGTAATACTAATACTTTACTTATGTGAAGACAATAAAAAGATCTTTACACGACTTTAATTCAATATTTTACTCATATATAAGGTCCTGTTTATGCATTTTACCGTGGAGACACACTGTTGGAGGAGATAAGAAAGCTTTTGGCAAAACCCAGCATGTAATCGGTCCTGCTTTTATATGAAACTTACGACAAATACTCCACCCTGAATCAAACAGGTCAGACTAATAGACCGACACTTCGCTGTGAGAGCGACAAACTGAGCTCCACGAGGAAGAGTTATAAGTTGGAATATTTGCATCGTCATCTGTGAGAGTTTGAAACACGCCGTGATCAACATCCATCTCTATTAGAAGCTCCGTATGAAAAGAGAGAGGGAAAAAAAATGTCTGGTACAAACAGCAGCCAAATCAGAGGATAGCAGCTAAACAGAGTGATAGCTGCGTGTTTGAACTCGGTAATTGGTTGGGCACTCGGTAGGCAATACAACAGAGGACCTACGGAGTGTGGTGTGTGTTTCCCAGCCCCACTGTGCTGCCTCATAGAGTACAAAGGCAGAGAATGAACTTCAGAGGGTTTTAATGCCTGAAGAGAAGAATATGGACATTAAATTATCAGGGGGAAACAGCAGGGTGTGAAAAAAGAGCCTTCTAAAGCCTCGAACGCAAACGTACATACAGGCTGCTTCTGACACGGAAACCTGGCCAAATTCACAGCCGGCTTTATTCTGAGCTTCACACTGATACTCACAGCGTTTGTGTGTGTGTCTCTCTCTTCCTGTGTGCGCACAAACACACACTGCAGGCGTGCACACTCTTTACTTTTTAAAATTGGAATTTAAAGCAATAAGCTACCATATTAAACACCCATGCATCCTTGTCTTGCATTAAAAATGGTCAAATTTGTACATGTGCACATTCGCTCTTTTTATTTACAGCTTAAATTGAAGTAATTCTCTTATCAAAAAAACAACCTTGTAGCTCTTTTCCTGCATCTGGGAGCAGAAACTTGCAAACATTTAGAGTTTCACTCACAGGGATGTTATTGCAGTTCACAGTTTCATGTAATAAAATGTGATCCTGACGTCTGTTTTGAACCGAGAGTGCAAAAGCTACAGGTTTGCAGCTTAATAGCATGGATAGCTTCAGCTTTGAGACAGTAAAAGGGGATGCTGTTTGTTTGAAAATGGTCAATTAATGACCTGATTGCACAAACATATATACAGTATATTTAATCCATTTGCAGCACTCATGTGTCTGTAATGACTGACAGCGAAAGCATGAAATTGGTGCAAAAAGCTGCCTTAAAATGCACCATTATGCGTCGCATATCTGCACCAACGAGGCCTCCGAGGGCCCCTCCAAAAAGTCTGACTTTCAAAGTGAGCGAAAAAATAAGTACAATGGGAAATAAAAGACTGGAGCTAAATGAAAAGAATCACTCTTGAGAGTTACAGCTTTACACACACACACCTTATTAATCTTTAATATCTTGTCTCGCTCCCCCCTCTCTCCCTCTCTCTCCTCAGTTTATCTCTTCTGAAGCAATTATACCCAAGAGGACCAAGCACATAGGACATGCTCCCACTACCTAGAGCAATAATATATCATTACATACTAAACATATAGCAGCTACGCAAACAGCCTTTATTGCTACTCCAGGGCGAGTGCTATTTATAAGCCCAGATCACACCTCCTCTACCTGCACAAGCTGCATTTGTTTGGGATTTATTGCGCATTTTCTCTGCATTTCTCTGCATGTAGTTTTGTTGAAATGATGCCTGTCAGTTTGTCCACTTGATTTCAGTAGCTTCATATTGACATTAGGGGGTGCTGGAATTCTTCAGAGTTGAGTGATGGGGTTTTGGATTTGGAGCAATGTTTAAAAACTGACTTTAGTTTTAGATCTTATAGTGAAAAAAATTAAAAAAAAAGGGAAACATCCAGCTTTCTGGAAAGTTCTTATTTTGAAAAGAGATGCCCAAACTTTGGAGAAGCTGCTATTTGTGTTACACTACATTAATGTCAGGTGATAAAGGGAATCGATTGGATGCAGAGTGTTAAAACGTGCAGAGCATCTTCATCTTATGCAAAATCTTGCAGAGAGAAACCAAACAGTTGTGAGGATTTTTGCACAATTTGTGGAAAAATATCTAAAAGTACCTAAAGGTGTTTTGAGGATAAAATTCTTTACATTTGATTAAGTCAGATATTTAAAATTCCTCTCGACGCGCAGACTTTTACCCCGCCATCCAAACTGGATCTTTCAATCGGAGTTTTTACCATCAAAAAACCTTTCACACTCGCAGGAGAAAAAAAACTTCTGCTAAGCAACTTACTCAAAGTACAACTCATGAATTATTTAAAAGAACACATTTCCCCTTGTTTATTTATATATACATATGTATAAAATATCATTTATTCTAAGAGGGTCTATAAATCAAAAGTATTCCCACAGAATAACAGATAAGTGAGGTTATTGTGCAATGAGGCCAGCTGGTGGTAATAATTTAATGACGTTTTACAGGCGCTATAAAGACAGCAAACAGATGTGGCATTAAGGATTATAAAGTTGGTAAAACTTTTAACAAGTGCTATGTATTTCGGCGGTACAACAGCACAACCCCCAGAATAAAAGGAATTTACACATCCTTCAATTCCAAAGCTATCAATCACACGCATGTTATTCCCCTGGGAGCGTCTTTACATGCATATTTATCAGCTCAACATGCTAATTCCCGCTGCTATACGCCCGCCAGGCACGTCTCCAGGCGTGTTTATGACTCGTAATTGTTGATATCCTTTGATATATTTCTCTCAACTAAGACATCATTTGGTTTTTGTGGTCGAAAGTCAATGAGGCACAATGACCCGAGCTTTCAATTCAAATTTACAGTTCAATATCTATTATACGCTATTCAGTGCCTGGAGAGGAAGCCTCTTTCAAAGCAGAGGGGGGATTCGGCTCTACTGTAAAGCACTTATCAGCAGCAAAGCTCATCTCAAGGTTAGCTAATTGATTTGAAAATAAAATAAGGAAAGTGAATTATTATTGCAGGGGAAGCAGCATGTGTTTCACGCGTCTTAGTGGGAGTCAGAGAGTGCTACCTCGGGGAGAAATAAATAAATAAAGCGCAGGTTTGTTGTGAACTTCCATAACTTGGATGTTGCTCACAGGAGTTCTGAATAGTTTGTCATCTTTTGCCAAACATTTAATTGTGAAGAAGTTCCTCCGGTATAAGACACATGTGCCATATTGTTGCAGGATCCAAGTTCGTCAGGATGCATTTACATTGCTAAGGAGCATATACAGCAGATGAAGCATTTCGGCATAAAATCAGCTCCACACCAGAGAATGAGTGGGAGATCTCTCCCTCTCTTTCTCTCTCTCTATCTCTCTCTCGCGCTCTCTCTCTTCCCTTTTTCTCCTTCATCTTCCTTCCAGTCCCTCTTCCTCTCCGCTTCTCCCGCAGACACCTGCCGACGAGCGCTACACCTCCAGGGAACCAACATCTGAGAAATGCAATTTGAGCATTTCAGCGGCACAAAGAAAAAGACAAACAATGCTGGAAAAACGAGGGGGATAAACACGCTGCCGAGTTGATGCTGGACAAACATGTCGCCTTCCCTCCAATTCACAAACGGCCCTGCCACGTTCACAGCTCACAGGTGTGGAAATTCAAGGACAAACTTGATTGCGCCCGTGGCCGCTGTTGTTGTTTCTGGGTTTGTTTGCTTGTCGTGCTCGTTCCTCGACTATTGTTTGACAGATTTGCTCCTTCAGGGATGTGGTCCTTTAAATGACAGGAGAGGGATGGATGCTCTTAACAGACAGAAATACGTCTGTATCTAATGTGGAGTAAGGAGGGGAAAATCAGGTCTGCAGGCCGAGCTGCTGAAGCTGCAGCTCAATCGAGTGTTTCGGCCTCAAAGAGAAACAAGAAGTGTTGAAGGCAAATTTGTTGGTTTTAATGATCAAATTCAAAGAGCAAGGAGTTTCTTTAACCATCTTGATCGAGTCTGTTCCCTCACATTTTGCAGCTTTGAATGCTAGATAGTTCCTGCACAGTACAGCATGGCAAACAGAGAGAAAAATCAAGGAAGGAAGAGCAAAAAGTCAAAAAAATGCAACAGTACTATTGAAAAAAGGAGCCAAAAAGAGAGAGACAGTCAGCCTCCAGGATAACACGCCTGAATCTTTGGTCTAACTCTCTGCAAACGTGGTGCATTGTGGGTGATAAATCTAAAGTTGCAGAAAACTAAGAGAGAGAATTCACTGTCAGTCGTGGTTTTATGCACAATGTTCAGAAAACAAGGTGTACAGGCCATGTCACAAAGTGGGAGGAGCCTAAAGTCACAATAAACAGAAAGGGGACAATAGATATGAGATATGTGAAGGCTGTGACACAAAGGTGCAGACGCTGATCTGAATCTGAAGGTACCTGGTCTGAGCGTACATGTAAACACTGATCAGGAGCTGTTACTGTGCAGAAACTGGGATTTATTAGCTGGTATAGTAATGAGTCTGAGTGTGGTGTAGTTTGTGTTTTACTTGTTCTTTGTCGTCTGCCTGGGCCCCCCGCTAAAAGCTTTAAGAAGCTTATCTAGGAGGTCCTTTTAATGCATACATGTTTTACTGATGGTTGTTTGTGTGAAAGATGTATTTTTCTCTTAATGCATGGGAAAAAAAACATAAAATGAAATACACAAAATAATGCCACAAATCAATGCCAACTTCTGATTAGGAAGGACTGATGCCAAGAAGCTTTTGATGTAAATTATCAGATTTTAGACGATAAACTGATTCCCAATGGTCTTTTTTTTCAGAGTTAGCCGTCGAACTTCAACAACATGTGATTTGAAAAAAAATTCAAGTCACTGTTTTTGCTGTTTATTACTGAAAGAGAATCACTAGGAACAAACAGTAGTCTGATTTGGCATAGAAATGCTCCCTTGCTCACCCCTGAAGTTGCTGAAGTGATGGCTGCCTTTTGGGACAAGGAGGTCCTGAGATGATTCTCTATTTCCAAGTTTTTACCACCAGAACTTTCAGCAAGTTAAAATTTTTACTCTACTTTTTTTTCTTTTAGCTCTCAAACTGTTAATCTTTCTGAGCCACTCTCTAAATACAAAAATGCATTTGTCACAAGTTTGTCCACTCTGAGCTGCTGTAGAAACACTCCTTTTCAGATTATTACAGACTGATTTTTTCATACTTGAGATGTGATATTCCATTTCTACAAAGACATACACTGCGTTTTTAAAGATGTGAGACAAATCAATACCAATATTTGACCTGCTCAAAACAGTCAGGATTATTGTAAAATATCATATTTTAAGCTTTAAAACGGGGCAGCATACCAACTAGAACTACATCTGAGTTGTATTTAATAACTAACTTTGGGCCTCTAGAATAAAGATGCACATTAAAGGTCCTGTGTGGATATTTCTGTGTGGAAAAAAAATAGTATTGATGCTTTTCTATGGCGTCTAAAAGCAATTTAAAAGATTTGCAGTTTCTATTTTGTAATTTTTAGTCCCTGAAATTAGTGCGAGGGGGTTAATAACGGCTGAGAAGATGAAAAGGCTCTGAATTTACAATTTTCTGCATTAAATGTTCACAATAAATGAAACTGTTCACCATCAGAAGCCAGCAGATAGATGACAAGATAAACAAAGACTGCTTTGACCACAGGGGGCGCCAAACTTGACATCAACTGAACGTCGCTTACAGCGGCTTTAAATCAGTTTATGTCAAAGTTGAATAATAGAAAGTACAGATAATTTTTAAACAAAGGCATCCTTGTAAAAACCCATCCAGACTCAGTCTTAACAATTTAACCTGTTGTGAAACAGACTTGAATCAATTTTGATGCCTCTCTAAGAAAAATTTAAATTGCGTAACTCTTAGTGCCTGAAACAATTTCAGCATACTGAAAATAACCTATTCTGTATATTAAGCTGTTAATATTGACAAAAAGACACATACAGGATGGATCAGTATCTCAATAAGATGTACATATTTGCGTTAAGGGAGAAAAACTGAAAGTTTCTCACTGTGCCTTTAAAAAATAAATCAACACGCACCTTCTTTACTTTTCAGGCCTAAAATAGCTTGTAGATTCAGTTTGTAAAAACAGCTCAAAAAAGTAATTTAAGTGCTCGAATTGCTATGCAAATCAGATTCAAATGATGCACCAGCAAGCAGCTGCAAGATCCTGTAAACTACTGGTTAAATTACATGTAGTTCACTGCTGCCCAGCTCTGCTCCTGCCACTCCATACAGCTCTCACAGCCTCACAGAGAGAGAGAGAGAGAGAGAGAGAGAGACGCTCTCAGACGGTCTCATAGATTTTCAAAGAAGAGAAAAGAGACGGTCAGTCTGTTCCTTACAATATGGACATTGTCAGCGTCTCATAAAAGACAAATAAGTAGGTGTCAGTGGAGAAATTACTTCCCATGATGAACTGCGTCGCCATCATCAGCAGTGACACAGCGTCATTCACTTCAACAACACAGGTGCATGAAAAATGGAACGGGCTGGCAGCAAAATGAATTATTAATGACACATTTAAGTATTATAACAGAAAATCAATGAGCATACCTGGTGTAATTAACATGCACAATGTTTTCCATAATCCAGCACAGTATAATTATGCCTCTCTATTCCACAACACGTTAGCATTAGCTATTTCTAAAGCACACAACACCTGTTTATTTGGTTTGCTTGTTCTCTGCCGCCTTTTTTTCCCTGTAATGATAAAGAGGCTGAAAAAATGTTATTGAGCTGGACGGGGGACGTACAGTCATTCAGAGCTGGACTTAAAGGGAATAAAAATAAGCTTTTTGTGTTTCTTAAGCACTCAGAGAAGGAAAATATTAAAGCATTTTAACTCACAGCCGTGTTTGTGGTGCTTGAATAGATTTCTACAAACCCTCCGAGGTTATTTTCCAGCTTCATCACAGAGTATCTGCCCCCAAACATGTACAGTCGATGTATTTCATGTGCTGTTATTGATTCAGACTGAAGGGTTGGGGTGTGGGCTTATCTCTGTATACTGTAACATGTCCACTAATCACTGATTACCACCGTCTGTTTGTGCTGTGACCGGTGGCAGTGTACAAGATTTCCCATCGTTCCTGAAGGATGCTGGGGAACAGCTTGAGCGGAATCCAGCACGGGACTGGGATTTTTTGGCAAGTCAAACTTTATCAGCACAAACATGCGCAAAATGAAAACAAACACAACCCAGACTGCTAATTACCATCCGCTTGGACCTCTGTCCCCCTATTTTTCTCCCACAGACGCAAAATGGCCGACTGCACCCGCCGCACTCGCTGAGAAATCTGCTGCTGTTCCCTCCGTCCAGGACAACCCTTGTCTCCTGGATAATACAGGTTGACACGCTGGTAGCCCCCGTGATTTTTCAAACCTATTATTTCATGTGCAAAGTTATAAATTACACGACTGACACCAGTCTGGTATCTTCTGGGCCATGTGGCCTGAATCAACGCCAAATCCTGTGCCACTAATTTTACTAATTGCCTGAGCCCGGCCAACACTTTTCATTGGTGTGGAGCCTGCAGTGTCACAGGAAGCTAATGAGCGCTAAATAATGTATGTGAACCTCTCTAATTGCTTCATTTCTCATTTTGCTTACCAATTCTCATATCATGGTTAGGGATGCCAATTTTTTTTCTTCTGCTGATGATTCTAACAGTGGTTAATACTAATAACTGCACCAGTCTGTCAAAGGGCACAGCCTGGGAAAATGAAGCTTGTATTATGTGCTGTAATAGAGAAAAACACAGCGGCTGAGGATGTATTTATTCCTGCATTATTTCTCCAATAATCCTCCTTTTTCCTCAGACTCAATCCCGACTCCAACCAGACCCTCTTTGGGTAAACATCGCATCATTTTTGGATGTGTTCGTTGATGCATACAGCATCATCAGGTAAGGCGGTGTATGCCAGCATGCGCCACCTGGGGCTGTGAATGTGCGTTCATGTATTTTGTGTATGTATTTGCGTGCTCCTCTCTCTCACGCAGACATGCATGAGTGTGTCTGCGGGAGTGTGTTGTGTCTCTCTGGCTGGGTTCCCACTGCAGCACCCGTTGGCCACCTCTCCTCCCAGTCCTATCAACAGGGAAGCTGTAATTTAGCAGCAAATTTGATCATCCAAATAGCTGAATATTTAATGGTATTAAAGCGTGAGGTAAAAAAATAAAAGCTGTATTATTTATTTACTCCCCATAGTGTAACCTCTATTCAGGAGACGCCAGGTGGTCCTGTAAATATACTCTATCTGACACACGTGTTGAATTATTGACCGATAATTTATCATAATTCATGTCACAGAAAACTCAATAATGCTCTCCAGGACCTCGCCGCCTCCTCGTGCCGGTGACCCCGGCGGAGTGTGTGGCCTGTCAAGGTGCGGAGAAGGTCGATGCCGCCGTGAAAACAACATGACTCGATTAAATCTGATTAACTGTAGATCAAGGCTGCAGTCAAGACCAAATCTGGGCTAATAAAGTTTAGATAAGAGGTTCAGTGATATAAAAAAAGGGAAAATTAGGAGTCTGGGTGGAAATATTCAGGGACAGTAACTGACTCTCTGAAGAGCTGGTTTTAATTTTTTAAATGCAGGAAAGTTTGTTCATGATCAGAGAGACTTCTGGATATTGATTGGTAGCAAGGTGTCCATTAACAGTCACATTTAAAGGGATATTTCGGTGTAAATTTAAAATATGGTCACACACTGAGTTAGACACTCCCTTGAGAGATGAATGTTGTCTATTGCTTACTTCTCTAATTATACCAACTTTAGTAACGACCGCACAATAGCAATACACAGCGGTCTATGTCTTCACGTGCAAACCTCAACCAAAACGCCACTCTATAGCCTCAAATAATGCTCAGAACAGCACCTAACTTCATCAACAGGACATATAGGGTCCCAGACATAGTACTAGACACCAAACATCTTTTTACTTTGACTCATTTCTTTAGCAAAGAGATGAAACACAACTCACCTACTCTCTTCCAGCAGCTGCTTGGTTGTAGGGAGAGCCCTGACGAGTCGATCACTGAGTGCAGCGGAAAATTTATGATCATTACTTCTTGTTGATGAAGTTAGGTGCTGTTCTGAGCATTATTTGTGGCTATAGAGTGGCGTTTGGGTTGAGGTTTGGGTGTAGCTCCATAGACCGCTGTGTATTGCTATCGTTCGGTCGTTACTAAAGTTGGTATAACTAGAGAAGCAAACAGTCGGCAACATTCATCGTTCAACGGGGTGTCTAACTCAGTGTTACAGTGTGTTTGATCATAACTTTATTTCACGCCGGAATATTCCTTTAAGAATACTAAAGTCACAAGTCTTCACAAAGACCAGATTCTCTGTAACAAAGACACAAGTGTAGATTTAGAGCCGTCAAGATGTCTCCTCACACCAGCTTCAGACACCACCTGCAGCTGCATCCTTCCTCTCTCTGCATTGGAAATGATGTGAGGTGGAGAGTTGAAGAGAGATGCAGGTGTCTCACAGGGCTGATGTGGTTTTCAGAGTTTCTAATGTGCTTTTTTTTCGTTTTCTCTCTTCTATTTGACGCCATGTCACCAATACTCTAGGGTTGTGTAGTTCTCCAGAAACAATGTGAGTGATACAAAGTCAAATCAGGACAAGAGATAACCTTAAAACATGGATGATGTCTTGGTGGAGCAAATAATCTTGTATTTATGTGCTACACATATCTATACATATATAAACATGCAGATACTCATTGATTCTGCTGCAGGGGGATCACTGCACAAGTCCAATAAACTCAACCCACCCACAGCTAATCTGAATCTTAATTTACCAAACACCTCAGACCTGTTAATGAGACACTTCAGTTTGTTCTCCGTATGAGAGGTATGTTCGTGTAAAACTGAGTGTCTTACCTCATTTATCGCTAAAACTGGAAAATATTTCAGGTTTTATTTAAATATAAAGTTTAAAAAGTTTTATTTATCAAGGTCCAGTTTCAAACCAGAAACAAATCAAGCTCAAAGAAAAAAAGTCGTTTACATAACCTTCACAATATGATTATTTTTTTACCTACTGAAGCCACAGGTGGTCGTGATGACCATCAACATTTAGCTGCAATTAAATAGCCAAGCAGCCCACACAGTTATTCTTAAACTGCGCTACTCATCCCAGACATTTTTGACAACTGTATGTCAACCAGACACAAGAACCACATCTCCTTAAAGACCCACTCTGATGAAAATCATGTTTTTCTTGTTGTCTCCATGTTCATGTGGCATTTTTCTGATGCTACAGATCGTATCATGAGAAAACTAAGTGCAAAATTGCATTTCTGAGTATTTCTGCATTCAAATCGCTGTGAATCTCTAGCAGACCCAAACGGCAGGTTCAGACACAGTGAGATTTCCTATGTCACAACTCCAAGCTCCGCCCCCGGAGCCCAGCTATGCAGGCCAGACTCAGAGAAGTAAAGAGGATGATTGCGTAACAAGCATGTGCGTTAGCAGATTGCAATGTTTGCAGGAAAGCTAATTATGATATTAACTTTTATCATGTACCCAAAGACATTAGCGTCCGAGAGCCGAATAGCTTCTATGTTACACAGGCAATTTTAGGCTGCAAGCTAGCGTGAAAAGGAGTGAGCAGAGCAGCAATGTCTCCGCCCACGACTCAGAGGTGAATTACTTATGAGCAACTAGAGCTCTGCAGAAGTCCTTGAAAATGACACAGGTAACGTGATTTTAGCAAAAAACTTGAAAATCACAATTTGAAGAACACTGAGAACATTTAAGTAGTAAACAAAATTAACTTTGAACTGTAAAAAAAAGTTTTAGGATATGTAAAATGTAAAGTTTGTGGTCACATGACAAACTTTGACCCAGAAACAAGTGGACTTAAACCACTCTGAGACTTCTGTATCGATCTCCTGCCTGTGGTGTACTATCATGCCTCTTAACAGATGGATTTATGTCTCTTCTAGGCCTCAATCAGCAGAAGACTTTAGGATTCTGAGGATTAATCGGATTATTTTCTATATTTGGTAACTTTAAGAAAACTCTGAGACTTCACACAGACTATAAAACTTAAAGAAATGTCATCACAGTGTGTCTAGCTGTGAGCTTTAACAGCATTAACACTCTACTTTTATGCAGTCCAGACGCCTTTCAAACACACACACACACACACTTCCTGACACGATCACTCGTGTTTTCATTATTCGACTCAATCTGTTGAACATTTCTTCCTGACCTGTAAAATAATCCGTTGAAATTCATTTAATAAACGCTGTGATTCTCCGGCTCTCTGATACGCCGTCGTCTTTGATTCTTCTGCACGCCTTTCACTGCTCATTTGTCTCTTGGAAAAGGACTTTGCCTCGTCTGAGGCGCCTTGTTCCAGTAAAGTGCTGGGATGAATGAAGATTAATTAATTGATTGATTGATGAAAGGGATCCTGTGGCACATTATCCCTTAATAATCCCCTCTCCAGACTTTTGTTGTTCTAATGAAAAACAGTGGTATGCTGAAAGAAGTGTCTAAAAATACAAAATGCTCTTATTATCCATTAATGACAACACAGTACACTAGTCATCGCCGCTAATGCAACACCCAAACAGAATGTCACTGGCAGAGAACACAACGCCGCATCCCTTAATAGGATTGTGCCTGTATAGCAATTTGTCAAGCCAAAATATCCAGCATTTACGAGACGAATATAGAACCCGGAACAAGTAAGAGAGAGAGAAATCACAAAATAGTCAATGGGATTAAGCGAAGCATAAACTAAATGCTCCTTGATGTGTCATCGATAAAAGGATTTTTGATTATTCGTCACCATAAAACGCGTGGAAAGATTGTCATGCCGTCATTGTATTACTGTATCCCTTTATCTGTCTGTCAATCTCGCCGCATTAGGATCTGGGCGCTGTTTTCTCCCCCGCCTTGTTTTTATTTTTTTTATTTTAAATGGATTTAACACACAGTCTGCATTTAGAGTGCAAAAAAAACAGATTACCTCATCGCCCCGGGTCGACGCTCTGTTAATAAATGGTGAACTTCCATAAATGTGCCCCTCGCCAAAGACACAATGTCATCTTCAATTAATTCGTCTGCAATCAATACGTTGTGCTTGACACTTTGTGCATTAGTCACCATGAATCATTTTTTATTCTCAAACAACAACAAAGAGCCCGAAGACAACCCCGACTCCTCTAATGGAAGAAAAGTCCTATTAGTGTTTGTTTAACGGCTCACAGACTCAGTGGGTTGTCTCAGTGTTTACTTTTACCTATTAAATACCCTATAATGTGAAAAGTTGGGTTTAAACACTCGGAGTTTGACACCAAACTCCTTAACCGTACTTCACTTTGGTGAGGAGTCTCATTTAAACCATCAAACAAAACTCCACTAGCAGATATCTTTGACTTGTTTTGTGATCTGTTATCTGAATGTTTTGATTTAAAGCCCCCTTATCGATTAAGTTTAATTTACCACTTCAATATATGTATTTTTGATTGACTCATGAAGACAGAACTTACATTCAGAGGCCTAAATCAAAATCTTAGGGGTGGCGCCATTTCTACTTAATGTCGAAATTAAGCACTTAAAGCTCCAGTAAGGAGTTTTTTGACATTTACAAAACAGAGTGAAATTTACACCAATGCTTTTTTGTGATATCCAACAGCAAGGAAGACTATTAGGGGCATGATTTACAATGTATATATATATACATTTATAATGTAAAATTTAATGCCTCAAACTGGTCTGAGGGGGTAGGTGTTAGTCCACCAGCTGAAGAAAATACCCTGTCCATACAACTTGCACCTAAAATATTCACAATAAATGAGACATTTGACTGTCAAAAGTCAGCAGCACTACTTTAGCATCAAGGTGATAAGGAAAAACAAGGACTGACTTGTCCACAGGGGGCGCCAAAGTCGAGACAAACATAATTTTACACAGGAGCTTTAAGGGAGTCAACACAAAGCGTTCAGGTGTTTAAATAAACCTAAATTAAGCCAGTAAACCATTTGATTCATGTCTCACGTGAACATGATATTACAGTTTTAGGATGTCTGTATTAAAACACGGGGGTGTAGGTTTAGATTGATGTACTCTGCTGAACGTACATGTGTATTAGGGTGACCATAAGTCTTCTTTTACCCGGACATGTCCTCTTTTTGGGGGGCTGTCCGGCCTGTCTGTCTTTGTCCAGGGAAGTTTATAAAATCCTTCAAATGTCCGGGGTTTTGTACGGAACTTTCGAGTTTGTGTCAAGTGGACTTACTGAGTTAGAAGCGCATAAAAAACACCTGATCTGACCTAAAAAAAAAAACTCAAATTAACTTTGTGCGACTCTGTGACTCCGCCCCCACGTAATCGTGTCCTCTTTTTGGGAAGTCAGAATATGGTCACCCTATGTGCATTGACATGTAAGTAACTATGTTTTCTAGGACCTAGCATACCTGACAAATGCATCTTTAAAAGTTAAAAACATGGACATTTTAGAGTTTTTCAGAAATTTCATGGGAGTCAAGACACTGAGTTTAAAACTGTACATGGATGAGTAACTCATAAGACTATATGGACAACAAAACCAATCCACCGCTCAGATTTGATGAACCAAACCTGCTTCTCAAATTGCAAATGTCTCGATCAGACCTCCCTTTCAAGATGATCAAACAATCAAGAAGCTACAGGTCAAATTTAATGAAGTCCACATTAAAATAGGTGTCAGTCTTTAGCTGGTAGAATCTGCTGGTACTTCAGCAACACAAACTAACACGGATAGCTTTTCCAAAGAACAGAAAAAATAAACCCAACATTTAAAACAACAAGTTGATCTGAGCCCTGACAAGTGCAATAAATGTTTTGAATAATTTAACTAAAGCAAACATTTCTTGTTAATTCTGGGCTAA